CCTGAACGCTCGCACTCGCGCTGCCGTTTCGCGAACGTGCATCACGCGTGCACGGGCTTTTTCGCTCTCAGCTATCGCGATCTCCAGGAGGCCCGCAACTCCAAGTCTACGTTAATTCCCCGATAGCCGACTATCCGGGAGCTTGGGAGTCTCTCGTGCTTGTCGCCGAGCGTCTCACTAAACGATACGTTACACCAAAATGCCGCCAATGGCGGCCCCGCGAGAATTCACGAAGGGCGCTCGACCACAGAACACGAGGGTCCCTCGCCCCGATGCATGCGACTTTACAATCTTAGCAATTAAAGAGCAACCTCACCGATAGATCCCTGGCGGGGCCCTCATCCGGTCGATTCCGGTCTCTTTCTCTCTCTCTCTCTCGATAGCGCCCGAGAACTGTAAACGCTTGACGGGCCGGGACGTCTGCAGTTGTCGCACGCCGGAAACGAAAAGCAAACGAGATCGCGATCGATGCGCGATCAATACGTTATCCTCCTCCGAGGGGCGCGCAGCCGCACCGCGCTTTTCCGCGACCAAGGTGCGTGCCCGCGATCCTTCGCGGGCAGTGCCGTGCCCAGCGAGGTCCTAGGGGCGGTTGAAGGCCCCGCGGGCTCATCTAGTGTCGGCAGCGTATTTTTATGCCACCGACGGCCCGCCTTCTCGCTGTCTGGCATACGGCGGTCCTGCCCGTCGGGTCCGCGCCTCCTCGAGGCGTTCCTCCTTCCTTCGCCGGACGTCCGGTCCTCCTGCGGTCCTCATTTCTCTCAGGCATAGGCCGGCCGACCGCTACCTCGGCCCTGGTGGCCGCTCCTCTCCTACTCTTCCGTTGCTGCTTGCTTCCAACTGCCGTCGTTCTTCCCTCGGTGAGGCGTCACTCATTTTACATGCAATTAAATCGTGGGGATTAGAAAATAATACTTAAATTACGATTTCGGCCCCTGGAGATTTCGCTCGTTCGCCATTCCCGGCCCGGGTCATACGCCAATTCGCGCTCTGTGACGGCGAAGGGTCGCTGCGACGCTGCAGCGAGGCGGCAACGTTACAATATATATATATGGACGATCACAGAGCGATCCGTAACGGTTGGCATCTACGACCAGTGATGGGAATTCCGGCCCGCTTGCAGTAGAGACCCTCTAATCAGAGTCGCGAAATAACGTCAATAAGGTTAGGTCGGCGATACCATTTTTCAGCAAAAACCGGAAGTAGCGATTATAGTTGATTATAGTACATTGTGTAACAATAAGGGAAAGTTGTTTATTGTGGGGACGGGCGCGACGGCACGAGCGAAGCGA